GGACAAGCGCGAGTCCGGGCGAGTTTCTCGTCAAACTCTAGCTGGGCATGCGAGCTAAAAAGGAGATGGAAAAAAATTAACGAGCTCGGGCATTTTTTCGCCGGATAACGAGTTCATCGCGCGCATTATTACCCTCCCCCAACGAGCTAGCTTTGAGGATGCTTTCAGTCAGGGAATTTTTTTTTTTTTTTTTCCCTTACCGCGGTACACTTCTTTGCATACGCTCTCGACTATTGCGCAACACCGCGCTCGTTCGTTAATCTCCATCGTCCAAAGAGGCGCGCATCCGTAGTACGATAATACTCGTGCAAATGTAAATTTTTTCGACGCTGCGCGTGAGTGGCTTATTGTTTTTGGGGAAAAAAAGTCATCGCTCAAAGTACCGAGACACGCGATATAGGTTTAAAAGGATGGAATTTACAAGTGGTCACTTAATGTGTGACACACCAGTCAGCCACGAAGGCGTTTCTACAAAACTTCTCAGCCGTAAGAAAACAGCGATATAACGGCTCGCAGCGCGGCAACGCGGAAAGATCATTGGAAAAATGGCTCCCCCGCTCGTAAATTAACGCGTCGTCGGCGGAATCTTTCGGGCCCGAGGAAAAAATACGTCCCTTGCAACGTTGCTACTCCACGTCGTTGTATCCACGAGCGATACGCACCCCTACCCCCCCCCCCTATATTTACTCTTCTTTCAAACCCTCTATATGCATTCAGCCACGAGTTTTTCGTATCGGCTCCCGTTCGACTTTCATCCCTTTGAGGATCGCGAACGTTCGCCCGGCGCATTTATGCACGAACGCACTCGCGAGATACGCGTCCGCGCGCGGGTGCATCCGTACGAGGGTGCGCGGATATGCTAAGCGCCAAAGGCGTACGAGTTTTCACCCCCCCCCCCCGTGTGGCTGTGTTGATGCGTTTTTTCCTCTGTTTTTCCGAATTTTTTTTCCATTCCCGCGAGAATCGAGCGTGGGGTGGATTACCGTGGAGCGTATGGGGCTGGTGGGACAGATAATCATCGTGGGATCGACGGGGGAAACGCCTAAAATTCCGGATTGAATAAAAATATTATTGGCATCCGTAAATATTTTCAGACTAGCCCAGGAGCTCGAAAAATACGTTTGGACGCGTGGGTGGGTATCTATGATATCACTGTTACTTCAGCTTTTACTGATTTAATCCTTTTGCAGGTGCAACAGTACGCGGGTAGATCGGTGGGTCGTTGAACCAGCCATGAGTAACAACCCACGCAGACTTGGGATGACTGATGGTGGTAGATACGTCTTTTGACAGTAAATGTCACAAAATCTCTTGGTACACGTGATTTACCAAGTTTTCATGTTTTTATAATATTGACTTTGAGCCCATCCTGCGTGGTAATCGCTGGTGTTAAAGTCATACACAAAATTTATCAGCAAAAAAAAGTAGTATGTAGATGGCTGTGAAAAATTTCTACTGTAAACGAAAAAACTATTGTGTTTATGAATGGATAATTTTTGGTAAAATTTTCATAGCACCTTTAATCTATGTGTAACTCAAAGCTGACACGCCTCGAACTTTTAATACAACTTGGAAATATGATTATTTTTTTCCGCAATAGTTACTTGTGCGGATGAAAAATGGGTAGCCAATTATAATGTTTCGAGGAAGTACTGAAATTAAAAGAGATTAAGCCAGTCAAGATTTGTGCATGACTCCAGAGCAGGGGATGACGGCAACTTAAAACCACCACTGCAACATCCAAAACCACGCCGATCTCTCTCTCTCTTTTTTTATCCACCAAGACTTAAAAAAGTTCCACTTTGCAAACATTTATTCAAGCCAAATAAAGAAAGAAAGAAAGAATCCCACTTAAAGAGCGTAATAGCCCAAGTAAAGAAGATCGCGCTAATCAACAGTCCGCACGAAGAGTGCCATCATCCACGGAACTAACGTATACTGAAACTGCTGATGGAATCCAACAGCCACCAAAGCCTAAATACACCGCTGGCAAACTTTCGCTTTCCCTGTATCCCATTCCCCCACCTCCTGCCGTACCTATATACATCTGGTCGGCATTGGAGAAGTGACTCCCAGAACCACAAATGTCTACAATAGTCTGATTTCGCATCGTTCCCCCTTGGAAGGGGGGGGGGCATACATACATATAAATGCAAATCGATGATTGAGGCTTAGCGCGTGCCTAGAAACGCGAGTTTGGTGCGGCGTGAGGCGTAGAGGTATAATCGTGAGTGCCGGAAACGCGGATCCCACGAGGACTATAAAGTATTTTTTTTCTCGAAAGGAAGTTTGTATAATTAGCGAAATCGCAAGTGGAAACAAAGGTCCCTCGTCAAAACTGAATGAATGGCTTGCAGTCGAAAAAGTCCACGAAAGCAAGTTGACGACTGTACAAGCGGGAAGCATCGTGTTGTTTTGAATTTTCGCAACATAATGGATGCTCTTGTGGAACGAGTAACAAGTTTAACTTGACGTTGACGCCGTGAGTGGGAGGTGCTCGAACAATATCTGCTGTAGGGTGTATCGCCGTGGTGTAGGACCATTGACGGCTCATGAAAACTTTGTATACAGTGGATTTTTGAAGTTTCAAAATTGCTTGTTTGTTGGTGACTGTTGGTTTTTTCGAACAATGTTTCAAAGTCACGTTAATTTGACATTTTGAAATTTTACGTGAATTCGAGTTTTTCTTTGTCCATTCTCAGCTCTCCTCGTTGTGGAATCGATGGATTTTGCAAAGTTGATTTCACCAGGAGCCAAAACTACGCTTCATTAACCGGTACTCATCGAAAATTTAGATCCAAAATTATCGAGGGTAATCGCGTTCAGATTCCGCTAAGATAACCAACACCAACCAGGGAAGAAGTTAAATTTACCAGCTCTATTTGTACCACCTCTAATTTTACTTGTCATCTCGGTTACTTTCGAGTACTCGTGTATGATTATAAAATTTTGCATATTTCACGTTACTTCGAATTATGTCAAGAGCCGCGTGCGACGCTTTTTAAGCAACAAATTGAGTTAATGAGAAAATTCTTTCCACCCGAGGTACTGAGCAGGCATTCCGTGTTTTTTTTTCTTTTTTTTACATAGACCCACGTGATTTTATTCAAGCATCACCTCAATTTTTTAATTCGAATCAGATAATTTTCAGCCACACTTGGTCTAGTTGTTGTAGTCAGATAGACTCGGTAAACATACGAGATACGTTTATTAAAATTGCACACACACACACCTGAATTAAAATAAATAACGAGTACTAACGAGGTGCAAAATTATTAGTACAGACCAAAGGAGCGAGAGCACAAAGTGGGGGAGTGAAATGTTCGGGCTGCCATTGCAATTTGACGTACATGTAGTAGCGCTTACTATCAACGACACATGAATATTCGCACGTGATACGCATCTTCAATTTTCATCGTCTTGCACGAGCACGCTCTAACAACCGGTTAGGTTCCAGGCTATTGAGCCAAAGCTGTTGTTCTCGACCGTAACATTGCGCGTGGTATTGCAAAGTACACCAACGACATAAAAGTAAATGGACGAGCAAGGCTATAAAATTACATTTTAAATGAATTAAACTCGCTCCCACTTTTTCATTATTCGAATTCACTGATGGATGTTATTAATAAAATGTAAATGTCGGGATCTGTCAAAATGATAATACACGACGAAAATCGAGTTTCATGTCGAGGAATAACCGTTGGAGCTCTTTGCCGATGACACAACGTAATTTAATTAATAATCATAATCCGTTACATATAATGTAAAAAAAAAAAAAATAAAAAAAAATAAAAAAAATTAAAAACCTTTTTATCCATACTCATAGCCTACTGTGCACGTATCCAAACACAAACAGAGCGAGGTAAATCATAATACCCGGAGAGCTTGTTTTCCATGCCACCAGGACACGAATATGTTTGCGCGGATAATAAAATCCTGGAGCCTTATTTCCTTGATATAACTCATCCACGAGCAGCGACAACAGTAGGTACACACAGACCTCGAGTGTTTCGTATCTGCTTTGGCTCGCCGAGCAGGTGTGCTCCCAACCTTTTTCCTTTCATCCACTCGCTCCACTCAACGGGAAATGCACTCCGAGTCCAAGAGGGCGGTAGTTCCGGCTTTACGAGAGGGACATAACGAGAAATCGGCCCAACGAAGCCACGCGGCGATTCGATATCTCTTCTTCCGCTGCTCTTCCACTATTTTTTTTTTTTTTTTTTTACCTTCCCTTCTTCGACGCAACGACCACTGCTCGACGCTATGGACTCGGAAAGAAAAGTCTGAGAAAGGAACGGCGGAGGAAAAAAAAGCTACTCGCTGAAATGTCCGATCCGAGGGGATGTCGAACAAATGAACATTGTTTTTCGGAGTGTCGCACTTGAATTATAGAAAAAAACAAAACCAAAAAGGGGAGGGGGGCAAAAGTCGAGTAGCAATAGCCGGCAGTGTAGTAGTTGCAGCCTAGAGCTTAATTGTAGGTCGAGAGGGGCCCCCTGCGTATTACACATACACACGGGGGGTGGAGAGCACGTATATGTATACGAGTTATCATATGTACTCCAGAGCGAGGATGAAAATTACGTATCCAATGCACGTCTCCGGCAGTTATGGTCGAGCGCTTTGCAGCATTTGGCTTTTGAGAGTTACGTACGGGCACGCGTAGATGGAGTGCGCAAAGGATCTCCCTGGAACTCTCGTTGATAAATTGCACGTGCTGTGGCGAGAGGCACGCAAATTGATATGAGAAAGGGAGAGCGAAAGCAGCCGAGTTTCAAAACTCCTCCTCCCGCCCCTCCCGCCTATAGCGCACCGCGTTTGGTTAATACAGCAGCAACGTACACGAGTTTGCTTTGCGAGAGCGGAGAGCTTGTGTATTTGCAGCAAACTTTTTTGTTTTGAATCCCAACGAACTCAGCTTTTTCGTATTAACGGAGCATCGTTTGATAAAATCAGCATTGGTGAGTGTACGTACCTGTAACGCTTGGGTGTCTTTGCAGAGAAAACAGCAGTGGATAAGGTGCGTCTCCTTGTATTGCGGTCGAATCGAGTCTGAGCCACGGGGGATGCGAGTGGCTGAGAGAGGATGTCTTTGGGCCGAGCTTGGGGGTCGCGGCTATTCTTGACTTTGGTCACCGCCACGCTTGTCATAGCCAACAACAACTACCACCAGCAACACCACCACCGGTCCTCGTACTTCCACGGCGAGGGTACTCCCGATGACGACGACCACACCCGCAAGCTGTCCAACAACATTACTCGTTTTCATGGTGAGTGTGATTTTCTTTTTTTTTTTTTTTCTGTATATTTACTTGTTCATCGTGTCCTTTTTTTTTAATGAATCGATCGATGGGCGCCTCTAGGCTACTGGCATTTCAGTACTCGCTGCGGTTGCGTTTCATCGAATCATTGAAGAATTTTTGCCTTCCACGTCCCTTATTTCATGTAATAGGAATGGCATCTGGGGTATTTCAATGTTGGATTCCTGTAATGTACGTGTTTTAACAATTTCATCGGTGATCGGTGTGCGCTTGATTGAAAATTGAAAATTCACTAGTGCCGTGCGTTAATTAAAAATTGATACATGATATTGTGCTTTTACATGGTATCCTGTACATATTTACAGCAACCGAGATATCGGATACATTTTTATGTAAAAAAAAAAAAAAAAAAAAAAAATAGAGTTTGGTATCGATTTCTTGATTGGGTGTACAGAGTCAGGAAACGTTAGTACATAATTGGCAAAAAAGCTTTTTCCAACTGTTTCAAACTAACATTTTTGCAACTTTTTTCGACGAAGGTTAAATTTTGATTCAATTTTATTTTCACTCCATTACTTATTTCGGGTGATGCTACGAATACCCAAGAGCAACAAAAATTTCAAGCCTCAAATCATAAAAATCTTGAATTAGCACCAAAAGGCCCGACGTTATTTTTTAAACTTTTTCCACGGTGCAGCAAAGTAATAATTGAAGTGGCTCAAGGTAAGCTACTTAAAAAAAGGTAGGAAATAAGAAGTGAAAAAAAAAAAAAAAAAAGAAAATGTAGTACCATTGGATTTCTTTTGGACACTGAAATTGAAACTCGTTGGCGGAGCCATCGATAAAGCAATACCGCCTGCGTATATGTACGTCAAGGCCCTTGCGACCCACGAGTGGCTAGTCTATAGAATATTCCAGGAGACTCGAGAGTCAATTTGCCCGACTGAAGGGCCTCTGCCGTGCGCTACCCTCCATCTCTCAATCAGAGCCCGGGCACGTGAATGTATAGACATGTACTAATAGACCCCCAGGATGGTCTGGTAAAAACTGTATTCACGCCGTCTAGATGCGTCTCGTGGAAATAACGAACGTGTGATCCATTGGAACGAATTAACAAGTAGATACTGTCGATTTACCTGATGGCAAAATTCTGTAGGGGAATCCCCCACTTGTGTGCTCACCTGCGCCACAAGAATATGGTCACGAAGGGGAGCCCGAGAAATGGGGTAACGTTGAAGCACGTTCGGGGTAATTTGTAGTCGAGTCAACGAGACGGGCGATCGCGAACCTTTTACACAGGATCTTCATATTTATCGCAGGTTTAAGTAAGAAGCTCGCCAAATGTGACAAATCCGACGGAAAAAAAAAAATCAGAGCGTGAATGAGCTCCGGAGAGGTGTAACATTCGAGGGCTTTTTTTGCCCCTCCCTATCGGCACCTGGGAGGACAAAAACCACAAGTCAAACGAAGCGATCGATCAGCCGCTCCAGTTGGGGTCGTTTGGGGGGAGGTGACACGTCGGAAGGTAAGATAGAAAAAGCACGCGTGATCAGATAATTGGAGCTGACGAAATGGGGGTTAATTGAAAAAGCGCGACGCGTCAACGCCCGGCACACGGAAAGAGTTATCGATCAGTCGTTAGCCAGAGAGCGGAAGAAAAATCCCACCTAGCGCTGTACGTACAAAAAAAAAAAAAAAAATTCAAGTCAGAAGGAGGTTGAAACTTTATGAGCTGGAATAATGCATGCGCGTAATCCTTTGAGTGGAATAAAATTCCACGGGAATCCGGGGGGCTTTGAAAATAAAATTAGAATCGACAGCCCTGGTATTACCTTATACTGTGCCGTGCTGTACTCTTGCCATCGTAATCTGCTTATGCCCACGTACGCGAGGTACGTAGGTTAAGTGCCTAATTTAAAGCTCATCCTTTGGTCTCTACTTGCTCAGCGTTTGAGGGGACACTCGAGATTTTTCCTTATAAACCTCATGCTTGCCCTTCCCGTCTCTGCGAGAGACTCTGCAGAAAAGAAAAAACTCCGGCATCAAAGCTATTTTTGATTGCTTGTCAATATTGGTACTTTTCAATGGAAAAACAAAAAAGAAGAATTTATTGCATCGCCAGGGGCAAAAAAAAAAAAAAAAAAAAAAAAGGAATAAGGCATCGATCCCAGCCAGCTGACAGTATCACCGTGGAGCTGACTTTAACGCCACGCAGCTTCGGTATCCAGGTTACATGCGCGGAGATACACACGTACACGGCGACAGTCTCATCGCGGCTCTTTGCGCGAATGAAATCGTAAAACTCGTCGCTGGGGCTTTCGTAGCCATCACTTTCTTTTTCCCTATCTTCTTTTTCCTTCGGCGGGTGGAAGCAATACTACGTGCCTACTGTTGAAAACGTGACTGGGACGTAGTACCTTGTAAAACCTTTTTTTTTTTTTTTTTTTTTTTTTTTTTTTTTTTTTTCTTGGTGCGGAGAAGGATAGGAACCACGGGAGGAGCGACGGCAAGATAGAGTATAATGATCCGCACTTATCTATCAACGTCGGTGTTTGGATCTTAGCGCGACGTTTTTCCTTCGAGTGTGTGGTGGGCCGGTGATAAAAATGTTAATCTTGCGGAGAAGAGTTTCTTATTCGTCCAACTGTTCGGTAGCCGATTGTACTGTGATGAAAATTTGATACTCTATATGTTCGTGGATTCTATACGCGTGCAGCAAATGTAAATTGTAAATTGTAAATTGTAAAAATTCTAGCCTGTTTTTTCTCTTCAAAATGTGCTTACGAGGAAGAAAAGAGAGTCTCATGGAGAACTGAAAAATAAACTCGTCCATCGGATATTTTCCATGGGCTAAAATAACCAGAGCAGGCAGAAATTGAGCTCCAAAATCAAACAGCTGGCTTCTGGTATAATTTATTGATACTTTTTTTAAATTTTAAAATAAAAAAATTTTTTACATTGCTTCAGGGTTTTTTAAAATTTGAAAATAATTATAATAACGCTTCATATGGCGCAGCAAAAGATTGGACAATTAGTCGTAAGTTTTCGTTGAAACTTTGAGCTAAATTTAAGTCATCGGGCAAGTTTGCCTTCAACAAAGTTCCTCGCACATCAACGCCGTGTGGAAAATACCGACCTAAATTGAGACTTTTACCGAAAGATAGTTTTCAAATGAATCCTTTCTTATCTCTAATATCAATTTACTTACGAATATTCCGATCGTATTTGAAAATTCAGCTTCCACACGCATACCAGTCCATGTATGTATGAAAATAAAAATGCCAATGTAAGAAAATCTATGGGAACGGATGATGATCGAAAGGGAATTTCAAGCTTAGCTTTTCCATCGGAGTATTTTTATCCCGACCTAAATTTAAATTTTTCACGAGACGCGGGGTACCGAGTACCGACTCAACCCATGCTTAGCTCAGGCGGCAGGCTTGAGAGAGTAAGGATTACCAGAAATGTACGTACACGCCCACAAAACCAATGTATTACGAGCAAGTATAGTAAAGCTCAAGCTACGGTCGGACGACGCGTGCGAACATTTGCATTTTCTCGGTAAAACACAATAAATGAACGGGGCTCTGGTTAAATTTTTCTTGCATGTATCGTATAAAAAATTCAAAGCTTATGCAACCCCGGTTTGTTGTTACTGTTTAAGCCTCGGAGTTCCCGTAGACCTAATAGCAGAGTATCAATCAGCAAACCGATACCAGAAGCCCCTCCGACCGGAGCTGCTTTTTTCTCTTTTCAAATTACTCCCCTCGCCGTGCCTTCGCGAAAATGCCAAGGCACGTTGCTCAGCTTTATTTACGCTCTCGAGGCTTGGCCTTAACAAATCTCTCCTGCCTGCTCCCGCAGGCGCAGCTCGGCCCCACGAAAACTTAGCTCTTGGAATTTATTTTCCGCTCCTTTCATCAATTTCACGAGAGACCCGTCCGATTTTGCTGAAACAATAAGGCTCGGGTCTTGGCCTTTTTTTCACAGTGAGCACCACCCAAAAGTCATCAATAGGGCGCTTGGCTAGTCAGCCACAAACACAACGACGCTGGTAAAAAAAAAAAATAAAAAAAAACAAGCGCTGTAAATCAGCTTCTAATGCATGGCTTTTTCCGTGTCTCTTTCACGCGCGACAGCACCCGAAGGGGGTTGGGGGTTAGGCTCGGCCGAAGCGCGTTTCAGATCCGCATAAACGTCACGCGCATTTACGCGCGACAGACAGCAGTTTATACACAATCCGGACGTCATGCTGGTTGGATGCGAAACGGCCACTCGACTCGCCCCCTCTTGTGAAATATGGCTGGTGCTCTTCGTGACAGCCCCGACTATGGGCAACCTGTGCGCACCGAGTTCGGACGGACGAGCGCTCAACTTTTTTTCGGGACCAAATGAACCTTGCGCGCTTCTACTTTTTTTTTTCCTATTGGATACTCTAGTAACACATCAATCTAAGCCCTAATGCTTGTTACATTATACCCCATTTGACGGGGTTTGTTGACTATGATTAAAAAAAAAAGAAAGTTTTATCGATCACCCACTGTCGTATGGAGCAAAAGTGTCAAACCTTTTTTTTTCCCCACGTAAATAACTCGATGAAAATTTTACGTCGACAAAAAGCCCGCGTTTATCGAAGCATCGCCAAAAATCGAGCCCCTATCGCGTGGCGTCGATCGATTGCACGGAGTAGCCAGACAAAAGCCGGAGAGCGGAGTCGCCAGTGACAATGGGCAGATCATGAAGCCGATCGCTACTAATTGGCCCGAAAGGAAGCAAATTTCGCGGTCGATGCGCAACACCCCGATCATCCGATGCATATTTCATTTTTTTCTTTTTAATTTAACGATCCAAAATTATCCCCGAGTACGCGTACGCGTCCGACTTTTTTAACGACTCACGAATATTTTCCCAATCAACTTTACATCCGGCGAAGCGCTGATTATTCGTTCGATGGCTCATTACGTACTTTTCCAGCTTGAGCGGCAAAGGCAGTTTCGCGACACGCCAAT